CCAAGGTCAGCTTTCAGAACACTTTCCCATCTCTGACAATGAAAACCAAATGAGAACTAAATTCTATTCAAGGCATGTAGATGCCATTCTGGAATGGAATGGAATTTCATCTTATTTAGCACTCCATGGGCAGGTGCTTAACCCTCTATTGGTTGAAATAGATGGTTGTACCAGAGTCTCTTTGGGTTAAATGTATAAGGTCCAGGACTTCTACATTTCATGAATCTGTTTAAAAATAAGACTAGGAGTCAAAAATGTTTTCTGCCATACAAACATCTTCATTGGGAAAGGAATAGCACTGATAACGCAGAAAACCAACAGCCACACCATAAATCAAGAACCTTATTCAGAAAAATAATCTAAATAAACTCAAAATACTTTGCATTTTAAAAAGATGTGTTTTATGCATATATACTAATCTGCACACAGCTGTGCACAAGACTGAAAAAAGATCAATTTGTAATATAGTCATATATTTTTTTCAAGAGTAGCTTATGTGCAGCTGTTAGGATGTAAGCCTTCTTTATTTTTCTCCTCCCATTAATGGGATTCTTCATGGACTGAAGAATCTTGTCTTGACTGGATTAAAAATAGTGCAGTTTCAATTTTTAGACACATTCCAATTTACAGCTCCAATTTATGCTAATCCTGAAAGAACTTTTCTGACACTAAGTAAAAGAGTTATGTTTGCATAAGTACATACAATGTCAAGCACAATCTACCAACAATTTCCATATTTTTGAACAGCTGTCAATGGGGTTCACACAGGAAAATGTTCCTGGTGGATTGTATCCTGTACTACCTAAAATTTGAATGTGCTAATTAGTTTAGAGGAGAAGTTGCTTATATTCTTTTTCTAAAATGAGAAAATGCATATGTATTAAAAATTGTCTCAAACCTTGGTTGAAAACCCTTGGTCAGGGTCATGGAGGTTTTCTGTATCGATGACATTAATAAATAAATTGATCTTTGATAAAATTTTGATTTGTGATATGGTATTGTAATGTTCTTTTTTCATGGGAAAAATCTCCACATAGATTTTTAATCTCAGTCCAGCACAAATCCAAAGGCATGCTGGTTAAGTGTCTAGGATAGCTGAAGTCCAAAATCTTGAAACTTATGAAGATTATTTTCCATAATAACTATTCTCACCATGATAAAAAGTACAATTCCAAAGCAAGTATTCATTGTTAAGATTAATAGAGAATGAACAGTTGGAAAGGTATATTCTTATTTTTGCATTTTGGTATGTTTCTTTTCAAAATGCATTATTCTGTATTTGATTTCAGACAGTTCTTCCTTGCAACATATACAATTTGAACCTGAGCAAGTCTGAATAGAAAGCTTGTTGGGGAATATTCTGGATTTATATTTCTATATATATTAATAAGCTATGCAGCATGTTCAGAATGCTGAAATTCCTGTAATAGAATTTTGAAATAAGCAAGAGCTTATCTTTTGAATAGTGAAGATCACAGACCTTGTTCTGTCAAAAGTAACACATTGAGATCATCTGCAGGATCATTTGTATTATCTGGCCTCATTTTCTATTGCAGAAAAACATATTTTAATCTTGCATTGTCTCCACTGCTACAAGAGGGGAAGAGCAGACAGGCCTCTGATCAACTAATTCTCCTTACATCAATGTTCAAGACAAAATCAACAGTACAAAAAAAGCAAAGGAAATTACATTTATATTTGACCCTTAATGATGATTTCTGGGCACAGTGAAAATGTTTAGAAATAAAATAAAAGCTATAGCAGTTTCAGTTATGATCAACTGAAAAAAATAACAGTACCTTTCACAAATTTCTATATGAAAACTTGTGAAAAAATAATTGTCTGAACAAACAACTATATAAACTTATATATGGTGTGTGTAGCACTAATCTAAGAATTTCCATTTCTTCTACTGATTAATGTGGATTCATTCAGGATATTTTCATTCATACTCAGTGCAGTGTATAGGTTTCCAGTGTTGTGTTGGGACTGAAGAGTCAAGGTTAAAATCTAGTTGATGATGAAGCTTCCTGGGTGGTTATGGGCTCAAATGGTATCTCTCCAACTCAACACAAGCTACCAAATAGAGTTGATACTGTAGTATTCCTGTACTATTGGGAGGGGAGGAGGACAAAAATCTCTTTGTATGGTATTTTTGCTCCTAGATCAAAGTGATAAGTTACTATATTAATTGCCAAATGGGATTGTTCTAATAAGAAAATCCTGTGAGATGCAATCTTGATAAAAATGAAGAGTACCGTATATGTCTTAAGAGGGGGCACGATGGCTCAGTGATTAAAGATTCGAGACTCAAGCACTGTGCAACAGATTGATGTTCCATTCTTGCCCCATCTCCTGCTGACCTAGCATTTCAAAAGCATGCAATTGTGAATAAATTAATAGGCACACTTCGGTGGAAGGTAACAGTGTTTTGTGTACATTTGGCGTATAGCCATTTTGGCCACATTACCACAGAAATGGTCTTCAGACATCACTGACTCCCTCAGCCAGGAAACAGGGATGAACACCATGACCTACAGTCAGACAAGACTGGACATGGAAACTTTTACCTTTATATGTTTTAAAGGTGAAACAAAAGTAGTTTCAGCTTTCATTATAACATCCTATTTTTTGTTCTTTTAGCATTAACATTCATGAGGAACTGAAACTAATTACTGTATGATTTAGAAATCAGTGAAAGCACACCAATTTGTTTGTTTGCCTATATTATACTATATATATAGAATTGATTAACATTTCAGTAGGCTGATTCTCGGTGGAATGTAAAGATATAAAGTAGAAGATATTAACAAAAAAACAGAAAAGAAGTTTGTTACTAAGGTTTTAAGCATGCTTAATCTTAAGATATGAAATCAGTACTTATGGAATATATTATACAATTACTTATATTTATAAGTATTCTACAGAATCACAATCTGATCCCACCAACGCATCCCCCAAGTTGTGAGCATTACTTTCACCACAGAAGTGTTGGTTTAAAAGAATAGAAAAAAATGTCATTGTTTTTTGTTCACTATTCAGTTACATTTAGTTTCATTGTTTAGCCCCATTATAATTATGTTATTGGTTTTCTGCTTTAAAATTACAGGAAAAATCTATTATGGGCCTACTCAGAAATAAGCCTATATGATTTTAATGTGTCTACTCACATGTTACTGAGTGTGGGGGGGCAGTCTTCAATATTTTAAAAATCTTGCTAATCATAGGATCTAACAGGAAGACTGATATCACAAAGAACTGTGGCAGTCTATCATTCAATTCATGGCCATTCTACAACAGCTATTGAAAAATGCCTACTTAAACATCTCCTTTAATTTTTTTAAAATGGGGTGGGGGGCTAAATCAAATAAGTGAAATAAACCTAGGTAAAAAGACAGAGCTTTCTGACACAAATATGCAGAACAGCCAAGTGTGACTGCGTGTGAGAGATTATTTGATGTGACAGGTGCTGCATCCATGCTTGCTCAGCTTAAATTTTTTCTAGTTTAAAAAGAGTAATCCAGTTGATGAGTTGTTTGAAAGAAGTGTGAGGTTAATCTTTCCATTTTCTACCAAGCAGAGATTGGCAGAATTCCAGCATTTTAAGAATTTGAATAGAAAAATGGTTGTAACTATTTTGTATATGCATTTTGCTCTGAGACTGGACAGCAATTTGCTGCACTGAAAATGTATCCAATAGGTTATGCCAAGTGTTGTTCAAATCCTAAGCTATTTTTAAAAATACAAATGAAAAAAAAATAAATTAATCAATATTGGAATACTGGGAGCATGTGGGTGCCATTCACAAAGCACGCTAAATGTTCTTGCTTATTTAACAGCAATGATATTTATATTAAATAGTCAGCTATGAGTATTTAATTATAGTTAATCAAGGATTACCTTGATTACCAGAATTACAACCATTTGTTTAGGGACTGTTCAAAGTTATGAGGGTGCTTAAAAGTGACTTATGACTGGTCCTCTCATTTATGATTCTTGCAGAAACCAAGTGGTCACGTGATCATGATTCATATTCAAACAGGCATGTATATATGATAGTTGTAGCATCCAGGGAATCACCATTTGTTACCTTATAAGCTAGCTTCCATCAAGCAAAGTCAGTGGGGGAAGCCACTTAATGATGAGGGCAAAAAGGGTCGGCAAAAACTCACTAAATGACCACATCATTTAGAGATGGAAGTTCTGGTCCCAATTACTATTTTTAAGATGGTAACATGTTGTAATTTGTTCTCTATTTTCCTGGGGGGAAAAACCCTGAAAAATGTTTTACGCTTTATAAACTTCACTCTCTTTCTTAATATGTTTGGACATGATGCTTTTGAGCTTGTTTGATAGTTGTCAAAGAGCGAGGGATGCTTTTTTTAAATTTCTCCATCACTCTGTAGTCTTTCTACCTGCCCACTTTCTTGATCAAGACAAAAATAATGGAAGGAATTTGTACATGAGAGGATTTGGAGATTTATCTAAAATGAAGGAAGCAAGGAAAACTACAGATTCCTAAGAAGATGATTCATGCTTAACATAAGGGATCTCACATTCCACTTGTGATTGTAATTTTCATCTTTCGAATCCAAATCAAATTAATAATGATTCAGAAAAAGGTTTTTAAACAAACTACTAGCTGATGTTCATTGTTTACATAAAATCATTTGCATGAAATAAAGAGGTCTGCAAGTCTGTGTTATACTGAAGGAATGCTTTTCCTAAATATTAGAACAATTATTATGAACAATTTAAAACTTTAAACGTCATGAAATCTGGTCATGGCTACAGTAATTAATAATAGTCCCTTAGTTTTGTTTTACCATTTCTAAAATATGGGCTTTGAGCACATCAACTTTATAATTACTTAGCTTTATTATGACATTTATTTGCTTTCTTTTTCAGAATATGTCTTCTTTTAATTGGCCAGTAACCCTGCTAAACTTCAGTGATTGATTGACAACATATCTATCTGTATGCTTTTGCTTTCTTTACAGCTTAGGTGGTGAAGTGGGGAAAGCAAATGAAGGAAGCTACATAGGCAAACATTTTCGTATGGGATTTATGACGATGCCTGCACCTCAGGACAGACTGCCTCACCCTTGTTCAAGTGGTTTTACCGTAAGATCCCAATCACTACATTCTGTTGGAGGCACTGATGATGAAAGCAGTAGCTGCTCCCGGAAGCAACCACCACCAAAACCCAAACGAGACCCCAGTACGAAACTAAGCACATCTTCTGAAACTGTAAATGCTGGAACAACAAGTAAGAGTGCAAAGCTGCCAGACAGGACTGAAGGTAAATGCTGAACTCCTTTTTTATTCCTGGAAAAAAAAAGTGGTATGCAATTCACTTACTGATGCATACTCATCATATCATAAAATATTTGCTATTTGATGATCAAGTAATGTAGATGAGATCCAAAAGTGATTTTAAAAACTGTTTATGTGACTAATATTTTCTCTCTTATTTCCCCTGTACCCCCAACATGCCACTTTGAAGGATGGGAAGGGCAATTTCTGAAAAGTACAGTAGTGCCAAGAATAATATTGGTTTTATAATTCAAGCAAGTTTCAGTCTGCCTTTGAATACATTTACCCAAAATGCACATTTCGCAAAGGAATTTGAATTTAGGAATTTAGAAATTATAGGTATGATTTTGTTGTTGTTGTTGTTGTTAATGTGGCTGCTAATATACTAGTTTTAAAGGTAAATGTAATAATAAGTTACATTTGTTTTGCAGAGTAATAAGAATAGGAGATCTGAGAAAAAAACTGCAAGTTTGGTTGAGAACAAGTTTTTTTTTTTATTTCTAAAAAATTGAAATACACTTTTGGTTGAAAAACAGAATGGATGGATGGATGGTTTGGTGTAAAATAGTAAGAGTGTTATTGCTAAAATATGAGCATTTGTAATTCTTGTTCACCTCCCAACTAATCCCGAGCAGACTAATAAAATTAATGAAAATACACTTAAGCTTTTACCTAAATGTAAAAGAAACCTATTTTAAAAATAACAATATGACTAGGATAAAAATCAGTGTATTATAAGTTCAATGCCAAATATATATTTTTTAAAAAACCAACCTGTCAGGTTAGCCTTATAGCAGCTCACTGAGGTCGTTAGTAACAGCATAACATCCACCTGAGCAAATGCAACTATGACATACCTGCATTTCAATTGATTGATATAAGTAGGCAAGTGTCTGTAACTGTGTTATGATGTCATAATGTATGTGATGTCATTTGCCCCCCTTTCTCACCTACGGATGCCAGTTACTGACCACTTGGTATTAAAAATAATTCCAAGCTTAAAGAAAGGGAAAGATTGGTTTCAACCAAAGAGAAAACAAGCAGTTAATATTTCTTATTTATATCACAGAACATACACTTTCCCCTACTGTCATTATTAAAGTGATTTTCACTGCAGAGAACCAATAAGGTAAGTAAAAACATTGTGGATATAACTGAATGTCATGCTTAATTAATGCATAGTATGTCCAAATTGAAACATTTCTTAGCCTCTAATCAGTGTTTGTTGGAGACCAAGGGCACTGGACATTCCAAAATTATCTATTAAAAAATAATCTAGCCAAGATGGTTATTTGTTATGCTTCCTTTGTTATGATATCAATAAGGCAATGGAACGCCTTCAGAAAGAAATAATTGGGTTGGATAACAATGTACGTCCTGGTTGTATTATTTCAATGCGCTCTACACAGGGCTGCTCTTGAAGAGCAACTGGAAATTACAACTGGTCTATAATGTGATGACAACATTCAGTTTTTGGTGTCCCATGGTTTGCTCACGATTCATCACTGCAGTGGGCACTGCACTGGCTTCCAGTTTCTTTCCAGGTGCAATTCAAAGTATTGATTATCATTTTTAAAGGCCTAATAGGCACAGGACCAGGTTATTTGCAAGCATATTATTTTTTATTCTGCTTGTTCCACTAAGTCTGAAAGAGTGAGCAAGCTCCAGTTCCTTTAAATATTGCCATATTATGGTACATACCTTCTTGGTAACCCGTCCTTATCTTATGACAGCATACCTTCTTGATAGCCCACTCCTATCCTTTAGAATACCCTTCCCCCTGAAATACAGAAGAGATGGCCTTCTAGCCTTCCAAAAAGCCTTAAAGATCTGACTTTGCCCGCAAGCATTAGGCTAGTGTGAGGTTGGCACCAGAAATGTTCTTTGTGAATGATGGAGATATCCTGTGGTATTTTTTTTTACCATTTTTAATTCTTTTTCCTGTTGTTGCGGATACCCGGGTTATGTTTCATAAGACGGGCAACTGTATATATTGTTGAATAAATAAATATAAATAAATAAAGCAGTAGTGTGGATACAGTTTATGGAACAGGTAGAACCTGTAAGACTTTCTACACATTTATAGCTATTCAATACCCCTATATTTCCATGATGTAAAAGAAAAGAAAAGAAATACACAATCCATAAATCCACGATGAACTATAGATGTAGAAACAAGCAGGAACAATCAGACAAGAAATGATTTAGATATTATATTTCTATGCAAAACCAGAATATTAAAACAAGAGAACCATGGTAGAACAAGAATGAGATAATTCAGTATTAACATTAAGGAACAGTAAAGTTGATATAGCAAAAGGAACCTATACATTAATTTTAAGAGGATTTTTGGGGGGAGTTGGCATAAAAAGGAAAATAAAGTTATATCTTAGAACTGAAGTTTTTTTCTAAGTTAACATTTCACAATTTAGAATATATTTTTTTTTCCATTTGTTCCACTATGTGTCATTTTTTGTTATTCCAGAGACGTCCTGAAAAATCATTTGGCTTGACTTTAGTGAGTGGAAGTCTTTGCATTATTTAGAAAAGAATTATTTTCAGTGTTATACTTCATGCTGTACACTTCTGAGTTCTTTAAAATTCCTCATTTAACATAAATACTACATAGTAGAGTTGCATATTTATGATTAAATGTTATGGTTGGGCTGAACATTCTTCTCTTCTTTTATTATCAGCTTTTTCTATGCTTTAAATTCCATATACATACTCATTGGTATTCAAGGAAGTTGTGGCTACTGTGTCAAGACTTCTCTGTGCAGTGTTAAAATATATGACATACAGTTAGCAACTTAAGAATAATGTTTTGCTCAGAAACTAATTACTAATACATGTAGTCAAGATATCCTAGTGATTCCTGATGAGGAAGCTGTATTTAACAGTGTTGAAAAGCAGATCAAAATACAATTTCTGCATTTCTCACCTCTGTTCAATGTGTGATTATTGTTGAGTTATTCAAGATGGAATATTTGTGTGTTCTGATACATCATAATATTAAGATACCAATTTCTTATTTCTAAATAAGAATATAGCTTGTTCAGTAGTTAGTGTTTTCTATAAAGATGTAAGCAAATGAAACTTCAGGTATTCATCCAGTGCTAGCAGCAACTGTGGCAAAATAGTTTTGAAATAAAACCCATATCTGAAAAAAGAAAAGAAAAGCACTTTTATATAAAGTTAATCAAAAACCAAAATTTCAATCTGAAACATTTTCTGGTCTTATACTTGTAGGTTCAAATCAATTTCATTTCATTTCCATTTAACTATAACTGAATTACATATGGTACTATTAATAAAATGACTTTCCAGATGTAATAATTCTTTTTAGGAAAGTTTGACTGGGTGTTCCACAATGTTTTATTGCTTTTGTCCAACACTGTTTCCAATATGCCAATAAATATTATTCTTATTGATTTATCAATATTTAGTCTTGATTATATTGTTCAAACTTTAAAAATAGCTTAGATTTAATTTGGTCCCATTAAATAATGTGGCTCAAATATTTGTGCAGTCTTTGAGCGCATTGAGATTCATATGCTAACTGAAATCGTAGACATTTGCATTCTCTGATTTACAATTTTCCATAAAATCCATATTTCTTCCTTCCATCACACTTAAAAATACATAATAATAATTTGTAGCAATCCATATGATTTGCATCCAATGTTGGAGAGATATATACAGCTGCAAGGCCTTTGATGTGGGCTCAATATCTGCTATATTTGTTCTTATTATACAATGAAAGAACTAATCTAAATAGATCTAAAAAGAGTACTGCATCTATGTATGAAATTAACCTCTCAAAATCTTTTTCATTATAGCTGACATCAAAAAAATTCCAAAAGTATTCATAATTTATGTAACCCAGTGTCTTTTTTCAATGCTGCTTTAGCAAATGACAATTGTGGGTATTTGGGAGTCTAGTGATTAGGCCTCAGCTTCTTGCATAAACTTTATTTGGTCTATGTTCAATGCAAAAACTATTTCTGATGTTATTGTGTAGTAACTGGGGTGGGGATGGAGTAAGGGAATTTTTTTTTCTTTGAAAACATTTTGCTTCACATCCAAGAAGCTTCTTCAGTTCAGTTGCCTTTTGAACAGCACCTTTGGGTCAAATTCCAATTCTTCAACATCATTGATTTAGGGACTGCCTCATGGTTATACAATTTAAAACCACCAGATGGCAACAGAGAGAAAGGAAAACACCTCTACCTCTTTACTGCCACCAGGTGGTTAGTTGGTTGATAGGCTGACCATTCAATAGGTAATTTTGGAGAAATTGTGTGGAGATACTCAAGAACACTCCATAGTGGAACATTACTTTCACATACACCAAAATGTATTTTTTTTTAATTCTGGTTGATGTGACAATTTCATCTGTTACAAATTCAGGTGCCTTGCAACCAAGAAAGATGAACACTTTGTTACCATCCAATTGATTCTGAGATCTTGTAGGGAAGGGGGAGCAATTAGAAAAAAATTGCTTTACAAGACTTTACAAGCACCATCTTCATATATGTACTCTACAATGGTTGGTAGAGGCTTTTCCCACTCTTTCCATTCTTTGTGCTCTTTCAAATTTAATTCAGGAAAAATGGTAAATAATTACCCTTATTAGGTCTTGTTGAATTGCTATATAGACATGGCCAAGATGTGCATTTTGGCTACACTGTGATTTCTGCCAACAATTTCCTCCCTGGTTTCAAATTAGGGAGAGAGCATGGCAAAGTAGCTGTGTGGATGAGCCCACAGACAGGTAATACACAGCTGAGTACAAGGAGCTTGTGTCATTGGCTTAACAAAAGAATTCACATGCTACCCATTCTTACTAAAGAACAGCCGAATGGATCTACTTTCTTTGTACAGATAGATATTGATAGGGTAAGGAGGAATGGCAGCCAAACCATTAATCTGTAGCTGCTATTTTTTCTGTCTCTGAATCTATTTTTAATCAGTCACTCTTCTGTA